TTTGACTTGCTTTATGAGAAAATGTTTAATATATTGTCCTTGATTTTCACATTGTGATTTCTACCTTCCATGACTGTGGGGAWGACAAGATTTGTACTTTTGCTGTAGTGGAACTGCTATGAATGTGAATATCTGTTAGAGAAATAAATGCAGTTACAATGCAACTTCAACATAATGTCTTTTGGTGGGGGTTTGTCGCTTCCGAAAATGAACGCGGCCTTCAAAGYGTCCGCTGATATTTTAAAACTCTGGTGTTTTGGGTTTCAGCTGAAGCTGCTGGTCCTCAGCTGCTGAAGTGCCGTTGTTGCAGAAAGTGCTGGAGGACAACAGAGAGCTCTGTTCTAGTAACTGCTGCGCTCCTGTTGTCTCGCTCCATTTAGTTATTTTTTCAGTCTACCTTTTCTTTCTTTGTTTTGTCTGCTTTTCTGTGTTGGAATTTTTTTTTTTTTCATGTGCAGACAAAAACCCTAATCTTCAGTCTCTCACAGTTGCTTCTTTAGAACTGCGACAGGCTTTCTTGCACACACTTCCTCAGGAGCGATGAAGTCAAATAAAGCAACATCAGTAAATCACAATATAAACAGGATTTTCACTCTTCTGCAGTACTGTTTTACAGCAAATTATCTAAAATGTTTTTATGGCTGCAGCTAAAACCCACAGACATCCTCGTGCAGCAGTCTGGTTTCTGTTATTATTCAGGGTTTAACTTCAGCACTTCCACTTTTGTTGCGCCTCATTGCAACACAGAGGAGGCGGAAGGTACCGGTGACATCTATTGATTTGAACCGGACAACCGGGCTCTGCCAGTCCTTGGTGGGTCCACAGAATGAAGGGAACCCAGGACAAGTGACGTCAGAACGGAGGGGGGGGGGGATCGTGACCTCTTTCTGTCAGCTGTAGACCACAGTCACTGTCAAACAGCAGCAGGCCACTCACAGGCTGAGGCTGGCACACAACCAGAGAGACACCAGCACCCGCTGTAGTTAGAGCAGGGGTGTCCAGACATTTTCCTCGAGAGGGCCAAAATGAAATGTGATAATATAATACATGAAATACAAATATTTTTTAATTAAAGTCCATTGTTTTTAATGATTAAGCTAGCAGACAGTGCTGTGGCCCAGTTTTGTTTTAGTCTGTGCACTTGGAAAAAGTCTGTCTCAAGCAGCAAAGGCTCATGGGACATTTCATAAACTGATAAAATACGAGTTTGTGTGGTCTTATAAAGTGTACAAATCTACATATGTGGTTAAATCTAAGCTAAATATATCTTCTTGTTGCATGTATTTCATGTTTGATGTTTAATCCTAATATATCAAAGATAAAGTCAATCACATGAGTGAAAACTCTGCACTACAGCCTCTTATACTAACTGGACCAATGGATAATTAATGACTTTAGGTGGAAATACTGTTACTTCAACTTCAAATAACTATTTATCCTAAAACGACAATTCACTTCACAGCTGTCTGGTTAACATGACATGACATGACAAGCAATGCATTCTCATACAATCTTATACAATCATTTCAGCACCAAGAAAAGAAAGAAAAAAAACTACTTATGTATAATAAGAAATGATTACGTTCTACATAGTACAACAGGTTACAACCTACTAAATATGGCAACTGCTGATGGGCCAAATCAAATGGCTTGGAGGGCCAAATTTGGCCCGTGGGCCCCACTTTGGGCTCCTCTGAGTTAGAGTTTTATTCTTTCTTGTCAGTAGATTTAAAATAAACCACAATTCATATGATTTAAATCAACTCTTAATTCAATTAGACACTGCACTGAACACTTTTTGTACTTAAAGTCGCAACTTCTTGAAAATAAAACTGCAAAATCCAGGATTGTTTGAAGGCCGTACACTTGACATGTGAAGTTGAAGTCACTTGCTGAAAGTAGATAAAATGTCAGTTCTCCAAAAAAAAAAAAAAAGGCGAAGAAAGGTCTGCTTGACGGAAGGAAAAGTAAGTCTGCCAACCCTGGATGCTGAAAGGACTCACAACAAAAGATTTAACTTTTAACCTTCAGTACAACTGTTGCATGGTTGTGGAATAATTAGAATATTTGCATTAAAGTTTGTTTCAGACTCTGTCTATAACATGTGGCCTGATGGTACAATTCATACAAAACATTGAAAAAGGTGATATTAGAGTTTGTTTTGTGGAGATAAAAAGCAATAGAAGTATTTCCTGAACATAATCAGGATTAGTCTGATCCTGGTGCAAAAGTGAGACACTGACCTCTAGTGTTTATTCTATCTAATGCTGGAAGTAAAAACAAAGAGATGAAAATTAAGATGTAAAAGTTGATCACAATGTCTGAGTCTCAACAAGCTGAAACAGCAGAGGAACAGCGACAAATCAAAAGCAAACTTCTTACAAAATCAGCCTTTTTCCTGATTTGAATTAGCAAAGCAAATTCATCAATCATTTCATCTATTGTAATACAGGCTTGTTTCCAAATAACACTTGCAAAAGGCAAATAAAACTGAAGGCATGATTAAAAAAAAGAAAGAAAGAAAGAGTGCACAAACAGCAAATTAGGAGATGAGTTGTGTGTAATCTAATAAAGAAATGATTAGTACTGTGATTAATACTGATTTTTATTAGTTTTATAGAAACGTTGGACAGAGCGTTGTTTTGRTAAAACAAGGAAACCACAGCTTTTGTTTGCGTCAAACCCTGCACACGTTATAATGGTCATATATACAGAACTGCTCAAACTGAAATGTGTGTTCAATACAAAGAAATTCAAATTTTCAACTGTACAAATACATGATTGTTTTATTTTTTTTTCCCTTTCTGTCTTAGTCCTTCAAGAATGAACCAAGAAATATGTTTACTTTACATTTACTTTGGTCACAACCATAAAACCAGCTTTTAGGACTTCAGTACACCCTCATAGTTTACTGACTCTGACCTACAAAACTGTCCATCATCTCACATCCAGCAAACAGGCAAAATGAGAGAAAATATTCCTAAAAGTGCATTTTGCATTTTAATTTGTTTGTGACTTTTTAAAAGATCAACAGAGGACGACGCCCRTCTTTGTTCAGCCACCTGCTGAGCTTCAGCTGCTGTCAGCTGTCTGCTCTTATTTCTYGTCCTGGACAACCTTCCTGCTGTCCTTGGACCAGATGATCTTCGGAGGCGGTTTGCCTTTGAAGGAGATCTTAAAGCCAAGCTTTTATTGTCACMGGCTGAAGGAATTTTATTTGAATATTTTAAAAACGTAACCCTGACGATGACGTTCTGCCCAGTCATCTGGAGGTCATCTTGAAGCTGGGATAAACAATTCATTACAATCCTTTAAAGAGTTAACGAGGCTTTCTCGCCAAACCACAAATGTCAAGCTTATTGTGGCATTTGAGGAAAAGGTCGGGGGAAATCTGAGGGCATCGCTTCACAGCTTCTGTGTGTGCCAAAAACTGGAGTTCATCCACATTTTACTGAGAAATAAAACATGTACATTCATTCAGCACATTTTGAAAAAAA